CCCCTCTCCCCTCCCCCTCCCCCACCCCACTGTTTGTGCCACGTGTGGCAAATGTCACGTTCACTTTTTACACTGTTTCCAACCGCATTGAACTTTCCTTTCATGTTTCTGTTACCCAAAAAAAACTGCCAAAAAACTTAATAAATTTCTGTACATAAAACATGATTCATTAAGGCGCTTCCCCCCATAAATAATAGAAAATATCCCCTCATTGCTTGGTCAAAAGTAAAAGGCCAATCATTATTAATAGCCACGAAAAAAGGTACACAAAAAGACCCGCAGATACTGTCCAAAAGTTAACAAAAAAAAAGAGGAAAAAATACAAACAAAATTCGGGTTTTTTTCCGTCATAAATCAGTAATAATTATCGCTCTCCAATTGCTCCCTGGCCCCCCCACCGAAAAAAAAGAAACGAAAAGCCGATAAATCGATGCTGATAAAATGAAAATTACCCAAGAAAATGGCATACAATCCATATTGAGACCTCGCACACACATGTGGCGTCTGTGTGGCGTCTGTGCGGTGTGTTGTGTGCTTTTTGTGTGATTTTCCTTTTCATTTTCAGCTGAAATTGCATACCGATTGGCGGCAGACAGCAGCACCCAGACATCAGACGTCAGACATGTGCTGTGTGTGCCTTTCTCTCGGCTGGCCCTCTATTCATTCGAGGCATTCGAGAGGTAGGACCTTTTGGCAGGGACTATGGAAAGATTTTCGAGAAGTGCATATGAAAAATTGAACGAAAAATGGGAGCCAAAAGGCTGCTTTGCGTGGTATAAAGCATGATATAGGTATTTCAGAGACTCGTACTGATAGAAATATATTCTCTTAAAAAATAAAATACTGAAATAATTCTTCTAGCTTTGAAAAAGAGAAAAAGAAGAAAGCAATGAAAAAAAAAAGGATTTATCGATTTTTGTTTGCACAAGAATTTGATTTATCGGCCATTGATAGTCAGCGATAATTTTCATAAATTTGTTTTTTCGATAGCTAAAACTTATCTACGGTTAAGTGGATTTATCGATTGTCGATACTGATTTGAAATTATCGATAATTTTGCATACATTTGTTTATTCCATATACGAAAGTTTGCTAAATCGAATTATCTATAGTTATCGCTTATAATAACGATAATTGTAGGAATATGTGAAAATGGATTTCTTTAAAAACCCAATCACTGACTTCAAAATACCAGAAGTCCCCTAACAAACCAAATCTAAGTTTTTATGGAATTATCGATAATTATCGAAATGGAGCAACATACGATTTTCTGCTTTTATAGACCTCGAAATAATTGTAAAACCCGAATTCACATTTAAATGAAGTTTTTCTTAATTTGAAAGTTAAAAACAAACATTAAAATTATGGTAAATTATTTAATGTAATAATTACGGCTCCAATCCCATAGATCCCTTGAGCTTTCCACCGATTTCTCCAATTTGTAGCCCCTAATCCTCGTCGTTTCCCACTGTCGGTGACCCAGAGGACGCACCCGAAAAACCAGAATTTCGCATTGAAAAATCAAAATACTCGAAAAACACACACACCAAAAAAATGTTAAGTAAAAATCACGTACCACCTAAAAGACGCTAACGTGGCTAAAATGGAAACAATAGCCACAGAGAGAGGGAGGGGGAAAGGGGCGTGTCCAGATTGTTAGATATTTACTCGATGGCAAAGCAAAGTTGATTTTTATTGAAGGGTTTTCTTTTCTCGCAAAAAGGAAGGCATTAAATTAAATCTATTTGTACAATTTATAGAGGGGGCAAAAAAAAAAAAACTCTAGTGAAATGATTTCTATGGCCACACACGAGCAGCAGCAACAAAAACACTTTAGGTTCTTGTGGGGGTAGGGGCGTGGGGGGGGGGGGGGTGCGGGGCAACGTTTCCGCTGAGGCATGACCACTGAACTGGACAACAGTTCATGCCCACAAGGCGAAAGCTGCAAAACTGCAGACATGGCATCAAATAAAGCACTGTAGAGCGCACTGGGCGAGGGGGTGGGGGGGGATGTATATCCAGTCGAGAATCCAGCAAACAACAACAACAGCAACAGCAGAGCTCCCCGAGAGGACGACCGAATATTTTTCGCTTGCAAGAAAACGAAAACGAAACGGGAAAAAAAAAGAAAAAACAAAGCTAAATAAATAAATATCCCAGGCAGCGAAAGAGGGACATGGGACATGGATAAAAAATAGATTTGCTCTGAATATGCACCACAGGAGGGGCAGTGCGGGGGGGGTGGGGGAGGATCGCTGCTGGAACGTATGTCGACACAACGTCTCGAATGCCACCATCGGTTCCAGCGTTTGTTTTCATTTTTCTGTCGTGTGTGTGTGTGTGTGTGTGTTTGTGTATCTGAATCTGTGACATTGTCCAGCTACAAACTCTACTTTTTTTCCCTCTTTTTTTTTGCATCCGCGCGCCACAGTTTGTTGCCCCTTGCCGCCCCCGCAGCACCTCGGAGTTCTTTTACTCTGCGACACTTTTCGATTTTAATACCCCTTCCATAGGGTAGGGTAGGTTAGGGCCCCACAGGGTGTATCTTATTCCTGAAGATACTTTCCTGAAAAACCTTTAGCTACAAGCATTTTTACCATATTTGTTGTAGGTATTCGAATGAGATGTGGCAAAGCTGCTCCTCCACCGAAAATCATCCTAATTGCATAAAGTATAGAAGAAGAAAAACCTGTGGTAACCCCAATTTTGGAGATAGGAGTACCAAATTTGGTAGAAATATATACAAAGCAAATGGCCACGTATTTACCAAGTTTCATCAAAATCGGATAAAGAAGGAATGAGATAGAAAAGAAAACCTTTCCGGGAGTCCCATTTTTAAAGATCATAATTTGGGGCAACTATAAAAGAGATCATTATTCACCCATCCCTCGAAAATCCACCCAATCCAACTACTCCCTCCAAGCGCAAATAATACAGGGTATCCCCATTGTCTGGACTTCTCGGCAAGCCTGTCCCCTCTGGTTTATTTCCCTCGGTTTTTGTGTTGAGGGTGTGAAAACGATTTTCTGCTGACTCTTGAAATTCCAAGCTGCAGCAAAACTTCTTCATTCTCTCTCTCTCTCTCTCACTGCTGCCGCGCGGCATGCCGCAAGGGATTTAGTTTATGCGGTGGTCCGCGTCCTCTAGCTTTTTGCTGTGGCTGTGGCTGTGGCTGTTGCCACGTCTCTAAGTGGTTTCATTGCGCTACAAATTCGAGTGTGAATGCAACAAAAAAAAATACCAGAGTGAAACTGAAATCTCTCACAACTCAATTGTCAAAAGTTAAGGCGACATTTCAGGGGCGGCTACGCTTAAAAAACAAAAACAAACCAAAGAAAAAAAAATAGAAAAAAAAAGAGTTTCAGATTACAACAGCAGCTGCATGACCCGCTTTTTAAAGATCGAAAAAAAACTGAGGAAAAAAACTGAAAAGAGAAGCGAATGCAAATAACCGAAAAGACGTCGGGTCGGATTGGCAATGGATTGGCAGGCAGGCAGGCAGTCGGGCCGGCAGGCAGGCAGCCCTGCCATCTTATGGCTGTTGATTTTCGTACCGTTTCCGGCTGACCAAACAAAACTTCACTCAGCCATTCGAACCGGGCCGTCAAAAGGCACAAAAAAGAAACAGAAATCAATTCGCTTTTGCGTGCAGGCTGCAGCTGCAGTCGGCCACCGCCCGCTACTCCTTTCCGGACGGACTCCTTTGCCCCAATGAGTGCTGCAGCTGCTGGCCGATGGCTGGTTGCATGCCGCCCCATGTTTATGCCAGATTTTGCGGCTTTCATTTACAGAAAATTAGTTCGATGGGAAATCCATTGGGAAATGTGAGCAATTTGCCAAAGTGTCTGTTGTCTGGCCCCCAAAAGCCGCTAAAGAACAACAAATCAAACGATCCATCGGCCAGGCCTTTGGCCAAATATTATTACAAATTGTTAAAAGCAATTCAGGGAAAAGGCAAGGAAAATCTGTGGTCTTGAAACAAGGGAAACCTCAAGAGTACTTCATTTTAGATGGGAATTCCAGTAAGCGGGGGGGGGGGGATTCTTCAACCCCAAATATCTGCCTTTAATTAGGTGCAATTTTGAATGAAAACTATCAGCTTTTATGGCATATCAAAATTTCATTGGAAAAAGTACAACCCCTAGGCAGAATATTCCCAGAAATGTATAGAAAACTCCTAAGGGCAAAACCTCAAGCCCACAAAATCCCCAAAAACTAAAGAGAAATTCATTTAAGAAATCACTAAAACATTTGAATTCTGAATCCGAAAATCCGTAAAGCCGAAAGCCGAAATCCCAAAGCCAACTCAATATTGCATTATTAATGAAAGGCTCCCCCCCACCCCCCAGAGCCCCAGACAAACAGAAGAGAAACTTCTGTTCTCTAAACGTTTAATACTTGGAAAATTACTCAAATGTCTTAATTGGCAAATAGAAAATGCTTGGAACATGCGACTCCCGACTCTTGACTCTCCCTCTCTCTCCCTCTCTCTTACTCCCCCGCTCTGCATCTTGCAGTTTGAGGAACTTTTTGCAAATGCCATTCCATTGGTGCTGGAAAAGTTTTTGCCGCCACCGACGCCGCCACCGCCGCCGCAATGAGAGCTGGGAAAAAATGTCCAACAGCAAAAAGAATGTAGGAATATCTTAATTGAAACTTAATGAGAAAATGCAGCCGCATTGTTGGCAATGGCATGACGTGATGCGTATCTTAAAGATGCAAAAACGTGCAGTGCAGTGCCGTGCAGGTGCTTCGGCTGCTAAATGCAAGAGTCATTTCGGTTGATTGCCAAGACATTAGCCAAGAGACCTCCGACTGTGGGGGGAACGTGCCGTCACCGAGACTCGAGTTATGCGATACCCCATCCATAGAGATACATCTACAAAACGTCGTCGAGATACATCTACATCTCTTCTCATTTACCCGCCACCAGATACTTTTATGCATTACACAATAATAATCTCATATTTTCCGCCTTTGTTTTTGTTTGTATCTCACAGATGCGCTCACCGCCGGCCAAGTGAATGTGGAGCCCAACACCGCACTGCTGAACGAGGGCGATCGCACAGAGCTGCTCTGCCGCTACGGACGGACCATCAACTACTGCCGCATCGAGATACCCGGCGAACAGAAGGTCCTCAATCTCTCGCCGGAATGGAGCAAGACCCCGGGATTCACCTACTACGGCGCTGGCCTGCAGGCCGGCCAGTGCGGTGTCACCATCGAGAGGGTCAAGGCCAGCAACAACGGCCAGGTCAAGTGCAGTCTGGGCGTCGAGGGGGAGGAGCTGTCGGGCACCATTGATCTGGTGGTGGCATGTAAGTATCTCAAGCTTGTTCGATTGATATCCGATAGATACTCGTCACGCGACATGCAGCAGTGCCCCTCAGTCGCTGAAAGAAGGTTTTGTTGGGGTTTTAATATATGTTACGCGTCATGCAGTAGCTCCTCTCGGTCTGGAAATGTATCTTTTGGTATTTCCAGTGGATTTCATAATTTGAATTTCGCTACGGAACTGTTTATACCTCTCACGCGTCACCCAGCATGTCTCCTCGGTCGCTTAAACATCTCACGCGTGGTGCAGCAGTTCCCCTCGTTCTGGAATTGTATCTTTTGGTATTTATAGAGTATTTTATAAGCTAAATGTCGCTACCGAACTGTTTATACCTCTCACGCGTCACCCAGCATGTCTCCTCGGTCGCTTAAACATCTAACGCGTGATGCAGCAGTTCCCCTCGGTCTGGAATTGTATCTTTTGGCATTTACAGAGTATTTTATAAGCTAAATGTCGCTACCGAACTGTATATACCTCTCACGCGTCATGCAGCATGTCTCCTCGGTCGCTTTTACATCTAGCGCGTGATGCAGCAGCTCCCCTCGGTCTGCATTGTATCTTTTGGCATTTACAGAGTATTTTATAAGCTAAATGTCGCTACCGAACTGTTTATACCTCTCACGCGTCATGCAGCATGTCTCCTCGGTCGCTTTTACATCTAACGCGTGATGCAGCACCTTTCATCGGTCTGAAAGTGTATCCAAAGCCATTACGTACACCTCACGCGTCACTTAGAAGCTCCCCTCGGTCGCTGGCACCCGTTCCGCCGCTCTTTCTTCCCCTTTCTAATCGAAAACTTCTCCCCTTTTCAGTGCGTCCCCAGCAGCCCATAATCGAACTGCTCTCCAAGCCCAATCGCGAGGGCTACTTTGCCGAGGGAACCCAGTTCAGTGCCCGTTGCAGCGTCCGCGACGGTCGCCCGCCCGCAAACATCTCCTGGTACATTGACAACATGCCGGCCAACAAGCGGACGAGCCAGCTGGAGATCATCTCGACGCCGACCAACGACAATGTGGAGCTGTCCACCTCCGTGCAGGAGATCCAATGGCACTTGTCGCCCGAGGATAGCAACAGGAAGCTCGTCTGCCGTTCGCATCATCAGACAGATCGCGAGACAGTGCCACCGCAGGAGGCGGCCTACATCATCAATGTGCGATGTGAGTAGAGGGGAAGCCCGCTTGCCGCTATCCCTTTCCTTATTTAAACAATCTCTACATTTGTTTCTCGTATCTTTTAGATGCACCCGTTCATCAGCCAGAGGCCTCTGTGTATGGATTGTATTTGGATCACACTGCCATTGTTAACATCACAATCCGGGCCAGTCCCTTGCCAAGGATTGAGTGGACCATCGAGGGATTGGTGGTGTCGCAGGGCCGCACCGAGGGCCGCTACTCGGCGTACGAGCCACAGTATCTGGGCAACGATGAGTACAATGTAACGCTGGCCATCGCCGGACTGACGCTGGAGGATACGACCAAAATCTACAATCTGCGTGCCACCAACGAGCTCGGTCTGACGGACTACCAAGTGCGCATCAGTTCCTCGAGCAAGCCGCCCAGCAATAGCCTGGACGTGGCCGCCATTGTGGGCATCGTTGTGGCCGTCGCTGTACTGGTTCTGGTCGTACTCCTCCTCCTGTTTGCCCGTGCCACAGGCAGATGGTGCTTTGGCGGTAAGTAGAGAGAGGGGCGGCTCTCCATTCACTCATTCCCAGTTCTATTTTTTTGTTTCTGCTTTTATCGTGTGGGTGCAACATGCAACATCATCATTGGCCTTCAGCAATCATCATCAGCATCATTATTATTTGCCTCATCATCTGCTATGCTAACAATAATTTCTGGCTTTAGGCTCTGACTACCCCCCATCCACCACTTATTCATTCATTCATCCACTCATTTTGCAATCCATCTCCCACATGTGTGCGTGTGTGTGTGGGGCATGCCACAAGCCGCTTGGCTGTTAACTTTCGACACATTGTGCGGCTTTTAAATTTTAATTAGCGTTAACCCACCACCAGAAGGAGCTGCAAGGAGCTGCTGCAAGGAGCTGGCAGGCAGCCCTAAAAACTCATCTAATTAAAAAAATTTCACTTGACTTTTCCCTTCCACCCCCCCTCCCCCCAAAACGGGGGAAGTTTTCCGTTGAAAAATATGGCAGGAAAAACTCCTTAGAGCAAGACGTTGAATGGGGGGGGGGGAATACTATGTGATGGAACATGCGAAAACGAGGGGAAAAACTAAATTCCAAACTACAAAAAATTGTCTGAAAAATATTATTTGCTGGGAAATATAAAATAGCAGATGAGCAGGGGAGCAGGGGAACAGAGGAGGGATTTAAGGGGTAAGAGAGGGAGTTATTTAACAGGGAATGATCAGAGCAATACTGAAGAGGAAATAAATGTGCATTAAAAATATATGGCGGCATATATTATTGAGAAAATATTGTATGTGCAGAAAATTAACATAGAAATGTTTAAAAAAAAAAAAAAAAAGCAAAAATTCTTTACAACCAAAAATTAAAAATAAATAGGGTAATAACGAATATTAACGTTTAAAAACAGAAAAAAAAAACAAAACATTAAACAAAAATATATATTTATTCAGACAAAAAAATTTAAAAAAAAATAGGTCCAGAACGAATTAATTAGGAAACAAAACAGACAAAAAAACGCAAGCAAAAAGCAGACTTTTAACATTTAAAAACTAAAAATCTAACAAAAAATATGTTCACGCTTAAAAGCAAAAATGCAAAATCAGAAAATTAAATGAATACTCAAGAGTATTATATAAAATAAAGTACAAATGAATTTATCAAAGAAAAATAACCTCAGACCTCTAGAATTTGTATAACAACAAATTTATTCCCTTTCAAGTGTGAAATTAATTTTTATTTAATGAATAAATTTGTCAATAAATCCATTAACATGGAAACAAATCCATACAATCGCCAAAGGAAATAAAAGTGAAAAATTGTGGAAATAAGTTAAAAATAACCCCAAAAAAGACCCCCCATAAATATATTATAAGTACCCGTATATCTCTACACAAAAATTGTAAAACTCTCCAAATAAAAAGAGTCTACAAAATGGCAACAACAAAAAGAGCTAACATCAAAAACGAAAAATTGGTTTCAAAAATCTACCAAAAAATGTACCAAAATTAATTACAAAAACAAAACAAAATTGTATTTAAAAATTTGTTATTTGCTTTTCGGTGTTTATAAATCTCTAAAAAATCTATCTTTAATCTCTCTGTATTTTCCGCTTTTCTTTTGGTAAATGGACTAACATCAAAAAAACTGAAAAAAAAACTGAAAAATCTGTGGAAATTTGGCATCTTCTTCGAGCGACAACCTCTCTCTCGCGCTCGCTCTCTCTTTGTCCGCTCTTTCCCTCTCTCACACTCGAAGCTAAATGTTAGTTCTTGTTGTTGTTGCTCTTTGCAGGCGCCACCCTCAATACGGACATCGGTCCCGATTCGGAGGCCCAGATCCATCCGGCATTCAACGACGAGGAGGAGCTCGATGGCCAGGATAATGGCGACGAGCACATCGATACCACGCAGCAGTCGGAGGAGGCCACGCCCCCGGTAACGGACAAGCTGGAGGCCCAGAAGAAGGCCGATCTGAAGAAAACAGCAGCGGCCACTGCGGCGGCCGTGATAGCCGCCGGCAACGGCAGCCAGACGCATTTAAATGGCGCCGGCGGTGTGGAGGCACCCCCGAAGCCCCCAAATACATCTGTCTAGGACTGGGACTCCTCCTTCGGGACGCCCTCATTTTGGCCAGTTAGCCCCTTAGACCCCCCCACCCCCCTTAGCTCTAAGCCAATGGGATATGAAAACCAGAAACAAAATAAAACACTTTTTGCTCTCAAATATAAACAAAATAATAGAAATCTCAAAAAAGGAACACAAAAATTGAATTAAAGAAAAACCTTACCTTGGGCCAAGTATTTTTTAAGTGAATCTCAAATTTCCACTACCGTCTCGAATATCTAAAAAAAAAAAAACAAACAAAAACAAAAAATATATATACAAAATTAATTAATTTTTGTAAAATATTGTATTTTTCGAATATTGATTTTTTTGTCCCTGTATTTATTTAAGCTCTGAACCTGCCAGCATTTTGCATTTTTTTTTTAACTTGGCTTGTAGAAAATATTCGATTTATTTTAATTTTAATTTTTGAATTTTCTTCTGCTGTTCTTTTTGTAATTTTAGTAATTTGTAAAGAGAAAAAAAAAACGAAAACAAAAATAAAAACAAAAATATATGTATTTTTAAAGTTAAAAAATTAAAACAATTTTATGTGATTTTTGGGGCTTCAATAGCTGATGATAATGATGATGTTGCCTTTCCACACACACACACATGCTCTCCTTTCAATCATCTTTTATTAATCTAGAAAAAATATATAAACTTTCTTTAAAAAAAAAACTTCTATTAAAAAAAATATTTCTCTTGTATTCTCTTTTTTCACAGGTAAATCAATCAAGACGCCCACAAACGAAACGTAAGTACAGTAAACCCTTCATTTAGCTAACAAAAAAAAAACATGCATACATATGTCAAAATACAAAGTGCAAAGTTCAAAGTTCAAAGTGCAAGAAACGGGGTCCAGGCCATACATTGATCCACAACTAATCCCCCAAAGACGGTATCTGCTGGTATTTGCTTTCTATGTTAATTTTCGATACCCATTATCTCTACTATATAACCATTAATCAATCAATCAATCAACCAATCAATCAAATATGTATCTTGTATCTTGCGTAGTTCGGATGTGTGTTTGTTTGTCTATTTGCATGCGTCTCTCGAGTGGCTTTAATTTTCAAGTATTTACCGTAACCAAAAGCAATCATCAATCATCCATCAACTCCATAGAGAAGCAGCTCTCTCTCATGTATCCATCAAATAGTACATCTCTTAGGTTAGTTCATAGATCTTTTAGTAACAAAAATTTTAACCTAAGTACTTGCATACATACACACACATACAATCACACACACACACACACACACAAAAGCACACAAAACATTGGAAAAGTCTCTCGAAAACTGCAGAAAAGTATAAAAAAAATTCAAAGAAATTTTGTATCTAGAAAATATGGTTTTAAAAATTTAGTTAGCTATTTTTTTTATCAAAGAACTGCATTGAGCATGATCAATCACCAAAAAGCCGGCTTGGGCCTGAATCGGTATTTTTTGGTCCTTAGAATCCAATAAAAAAATTCACAGTACACCAAGGCTATGTGCCAAGAAACAAAAAACCAAACCAAATACATGGCGTGTGCATGACACAAACTCAAAGCCAGCGGAGTCGAAGAAAAGGCAAATGGAACCCCAGGAAATGATCGGAAATGCCTCGGAAAAGGCATTACTCGTTTCCGTTCTCGCTATTTAAAAAAAAAACTTTAAAAAAATTGCCACCACACGCACACACACACATATTTGGTACAGTTTCGAAGTCATGTCATGTTTTGTCTTTAAAAAATCCCAGAAATGACCAGAAATCCCGTTTTTCACGCTGCCACATGCATACACCCACAATCACACACACACACACACACACACACCCACATTCACTCGCTCGTCCTGTGCTGTCACACGCTCTCGTATGCTCGCTCGCTCTCGCTCATGGCTCGCTCGTTCGTTCGTTTGCCTCCACTCGCTAGTTCGCCAAAACCCAAACAAACTCGTTCGTTCGCTCTCTCTCTATATCTCTGTCTCGTCCACTAGCCCACTCGCCCACTCGCTCTGTCTGTCTCTCTGTCTTCCCCCGCCCACTGTCTAAACCTCATATAAACCTGTCTCTGTCTCTGTCTCACTCATTCACTAAACCAAAAATGTCAAAAATGTCTCGCTGCTGTACCACTCGTCATTCAACCAAAGCAAAAAAAAACATAGAGTTTTAGAGTCACTTTGCTAATGCATCATCTCAAAAAAAACCAACCGAAAAAAAAACTTTTTGCTATGTTTTGTCTTCTTCTTTTATACTACTTTCATATGGACAACAAACAACAACAACAATCCCCGACAACAACGAAACTGTCAAACAAACATTCCACCAAAAAATATATATATAAATCCCCACTGTGTCCCGCGACATTTGTGAAACTTTCGTTGCCGCACAACACAGCGACGGGCAGAACGACAAGCAGCTCGAGCTGGGAGGTGGCCAAAACCATGGCCAGAATGTGGCCCTCCTAGAGACGCCCAACGGCATCACCCTGCTGGGGGCCAGCAAACTCAAAGAAGCCAACGGCAATGGGAATGGGAATGGCATTCCCCTGGAGCGTATGTCCGTGGAGAGGCGTCACACGAATGATGAGGATGATTCCTTCGAGTATGCCACCGATCGCGAGAGCAGCGTCTATAATCCCACAACCCGACCACTGCGCAGTGTCCTGATGAGCCAGGCAGGCGGCCGTAATTCCCGCAGCTCGGCCAGCTCCGAGACAGAGCCACTGGCCACCGAAAACTCCGATCTCCTGCAGAAGGCCAACCAATTGGGCATTCCCGAGTCGCGTTTCGCTCGCTGGCTGCCAAAGGATAAGCGAGAGCTGCTCGAAAAGCAGGCTATGCTGCTGTCGGGACACGGCAAGGCAACGGCGACGGCGCCACCAGCCACACCACCAAAGCCACAAAAGAAAGTGCCTGCAACAGCAACACCAACAGAGACGGCAACGACGACAATGGCGACGCCAAAGCTGCCACAGGAAACGGAAATCTGAGAATGCAACGATTGTGTGTGTGTGTGCGTGTGTGTGCGTCATTGTGTGTCATATTTATTTATTTGCTACTGCTTTGAGGCACAGGAAATGCGGTTGCAGGATTAGGGACTGGACCAGTTTTGTAGCAGTGTCAGCAGGGATGCCCCTCAGAGACCAACCCAAAAACCCCTACGAATCCTGAATTTGATAGATCAAAGATCACAGCTCTGTCTATCTTTGGCTGCTATGAAATACCTAGAAATCTGCTCTAAAGATACTACAAAATGTATCTTTCTTATGATATGGGGTTTCAGTAACCAATAGATTCCTTCCTTTCATAAAAACGACTCGGTAAACCTCCAGATTCATTGAAAAACGATAAGTTTTAAGTTCATTTTAGTGCCTTAAACATTAACCAACTCCCAGGAAACAACAAGGAGTGTTCAAGTGCCTTGGAATTACTCCTCAGACCTCATTCTCCCGCCCTTTCCTTCAACGATTTCCCTTGATTTTCCGCTACAAAACTGTCTCCAAATGTAGGCTTTAAGCTTCAGAACTCAAGACTCATGACAGCCCTGCTTTTCACACATTGAAAAACGAACAACAAAATAAAGATACAGCTACAGATACAGATACAGATTCATACGGCATGAAAATTTTGTTGTAGGCATGAAATTAAGTTATTATCGAATAATAATCGTATCCAAAACCGATTGCATGACAAAAACAAAAACAAAAAACATCGAAAAGAAAAACTCTGTCTTCACACACAAGTATTTACGTTAGTGACTCGTACTAGTAGTTAGTACTGTACTGGCAGTAGTGAAAGTCATGTGTAGAGTGTTCGCTGTACTTTCGTGTCCCTAAGAGCAAAAAATTAAATTTATATTTTTAGTTCTTTTTTTTGGTAAAAAAAAAAATATTTTTTATTTTTAATTTCCTTAAAAAATAAAAGCTAAGCTGTAGAATGTAGGAACTTTTGATAAAAGTTAATTTTCCTTTTTTTATACCATATATATTTAATAAATTAACAACAATAAAAAAAACAATTGTTAAAATCTGAGACAAATATTGGATTTTTTCTATGGTTTTTGCGAGTGTGTGTGTGTGTGTGTGCATTGTCCTGGAATGAATGTAAAGCCTATTTTGGGGAAAAATGGGGAAATTCTAGCAATACTTGCGCCTAAACGAGGAAATTCTCTCGCTCTCTTCTAACAATTTTGCATTTTCCACAACAATAATACCCCACCCACCCGTCCATCCTTCCATCCTTCAATCCATCCATTGAATGGCATGGAAACACACACACACACATTCATAAGCGTATTGAGAGAGAACTAACACACAGATACACGAAACAAATACACACACACACAGATGCACAAAAGTATCTCACAGATACACACACAGCAGTACTTGTTGAGCCGCCCAGACAGCAGGCAGACATTCAAATGAGGCAAAAATATTTATAGAATATAAATGAAAAACCATTCCAGCGAAATGAAAGCAATTTATGCGCTCAATTTAACAGAGAGAGAGGGAGAGAGAGAGAGAGCGTTGGGTAGTGGGGGGATAGGGTAGGGTAGGGTAAAGAGACGTCAGATGCTAGGCTTAGGTTTATGCAATTTGAAGGTCAAATTCGGGCCCAGAGGCCTTTTCAAATATTCCAGGAAAAACCTCCCGATGAAAGCTGCTTTCAAGATAGAAAGATACAAAGATACACAGCTAAACTTTATGTTAGTTAAAGCTGATTTCAGGGCAAACAAGAACAAAAAACCTCCTCGCTTTTGCCGCTAACACAATTATTTGGTTCTAAGGGATTTAGATTTATTTTTTACCTTTAACAATTACCCAAAAAAAACACACACCAGTTCTTATGCCACTAACTACCAGAAAAGAGAGACCTTTAACCCACACACACACACAAACACACGACTAACGACTAACCCGAAACACACACAGACACACACAGACACACGTTTTTGGGCCACTTTTGGGCGGGAGTTTTCTCCCCCATTCGAAAATTGCAACTAAAACCCGACTGCACAGCAAAAATGACATATTTTTAGACATAAATAAAGCTGCTGTTACACGATACGTTTTTCACCGACACTTTTTGAGGAGGAAACCCAAGGGCCTTGCGAAAATAACCCTAAAGATTTTCCACAGCAGAAATAGTCCAACAAAATATTCAAGGATTGGTATTGCCCCTTCGAAGTGCTATAGCCATTCACATGTTAACGTAAAAAACCTAGTTTTATCCTTGAGAACATATTGCCATTCACAAATTGCCAAATTTCCATTGGAAACTCATACAAAATTAATTTATCCATCAGTAAAATACAACCATTCGCGTGTAACCGCCAGTATCGTAATTATTTTTAACATTTTCTCCACATGTTAACGTAAAAACTGAATTTCTTCTTTAGGAAAATATTGCCACTCACATGTTAGCGTGAAAAAATCTATTTTTTAAGCCGAAAAATATAACCATTCACTTGTGAACGTAAAATGCCGTTTCCATCTGTATGAAGATAGCCATTCACATGTACACGCAACAAAAAGAAACTCTCTAGTGCCTTAGTATAATTTGCTTTTGAGATATTCGTATCTTTTTTTTAATTAGAGCTAATTTTTAATGAAAAAGTGTGAATGGCAGAATAAAATCCACTTAAAAAGTCCTTCGGTGGAAACCCTATCGTATAACAGCAGCTTAAGTAGCTAAAGAAAACAAAAACACTCTCATGTCACCAACGAAATCATGCAACCATCCTTCAAAACCACCAAAAAAAAAAAAAAACACAAACAAAAAATACAAACAGCAGCGACACCGAAAGCGCCGACATTAAGGCCACCTCAACCGCCACGGCCACAACGGCAGCCACCACAACAATGGGCGGCAGCGGGTTGGGCGTGTCGGCCACAGAGGAGTCATCGGCCAACAACAGCAATGAGCAGGAAGCCCAGGAGCAACAGCAGCAGCAGCAGCAGAAGAAGGCCAAGAGCTTGCCAGCCTTTGCGGCGGCCATATTAAAGCGTTTCCACGAGAAGGATGCCAGGAAAAGCAAGGACAAGGATGTGGAGACCACGGCAGAGGCGGCCCTGACCCTGGCCAACGAACAGGACACACCGGAGAGCAATGCCATCGATGGCAATGACAATGAACCAAAGGTACAACCAACCCAAGAGCAAAAAAGTCTCAGATTCTTCGATTTTCCCCACAAACCTCTCCTCTCTCTCTTTCCGAATCCCTCTTCTTATACTCCCCTCTCTTTCACTTTCTAATGTGCGTTTGTGTGTGTGTGTGTGAGCGAGATGTATCTATAGCTTCAATAGCAAAAATTGCGCTTTTGGTTGCGAAAAAATTAATTTTGTACTTGATTTACTTTTTTGCTATTTTTATGCTCACCAAAAAAAAAACAACATTTTCTTTGCTACTTTTTTTCGCTCTCTACGCATGCATAAACTATATATATATTGTAAAAACTATATATTCGTGCAACGTTTTTGTATATACATATATTGTATGCAAAATAAAGGCTATAGTTTGGCAGAGCACATCACCAGTGTGGACCTTTAAGTAAAGACCAAAAAAGATTCATAAAAGGTATTGCAATGAAAACCCCACAGAAACGATTCTAAAATATACATATTTCTGCTTCAAATATATATATTAATATTTAATAACTGGAAACTAATCTTTGTTTATTTTTTGTGTTGCAAAAACCTATCCCCAGCAAGACAAACAACTCGTCTATGCTGAACTTGTACTAAAGCCAGCGAATGAGACGGCAACAACAGCAACGCCTGCAGCAGCCGCAGCAGCATCTCTAGGACCTGCCGTCGCCACAACAACACCTGGCCTCGAAGGATCTGGTAAAAATTCAACGGAATACGCAGAAATAGTCTATGTGCAAAAGCCCACAGCCGCAGCCACAGCCGATGGCAAAAAGTAATCTCTAGCCCTAAAAATCTTGCCCCTGGGAGGCTGAAAAAACAAAAAAAAACAACAAACAACAGAAAACTTAAAGCACAAAATGCAGCAGCAACAAATTACACACAAAAACAGAACCCAATGCAACACATAAACATACAACATAAACCACTTTAAAAATTAGAAAGAAAAAAAACACACAAAAAAAATATATATTAAAAATAAAAAATTATAAATAAATTATAAAGTGGTTTTTCAAAAACTTCTTCGAATGTGTATGTGTACTAAATAAATCTAAAGAAATGTAAAACTAAAAAAAAAACACACAAAAAAAACCATTAAAAAATTAACGAATCTCTGCACAGAAAATCTTGACACAAGACACGCCCTCCTACCCCCCCTTCACAATATATGATTCCACCCTGCCCACAAATAAATTAAATCAAATTTACAACAACAAAAAATAACATTTGCAAAAGAAAAATACAAAAACAAAAAATAAATATAAATAAAATTTACATAAAAATAAAAGCAAAAGCGAAAAAAAAATGATAAAATAGGCAAGAGAAAAGCATTTTGAAAAATCTCAATTATTTACATAAATGTCTCGCAACTAAGCTAAAAAAAGAAAGAAATAAATTTAAGGCAAAAAAATAAGAAACATAAAAATTAAAGCAAAGAAAATTAAGGAAAACCCCTAAAGAGACCCCAAATGATTTGTATGCCCCTTTTTTGGAATTCAAAATTAACAGCCAGAGCAAAGCATTTAAAATAAAAAAATAGTACACTTTTCGAATGAAAAAATATTAAGAAAAAAAACTGCTACAAAAGTATTTTCATGGATTTCTTTGAGTCGATTTGGCATTCATTTTCCATTCAACGCAACACCCAAACTGGCGATTAATGTTATTATTATTTAATGCAATTCACGCAATTATAATTATATGTGTATTAATGGATAATTGATTAAGTTAAGTGCATGAATTAATTATGTATTTTCATGATGATGATTGATTTTCGTACTCGAGTATTCTGTAAGTTATCATTTGTACTATATTGTAAAGTTAAGCGCGAACCATGAACACTTTTTTGAATAAAATTCTTTACCAATACGAAGAGGGTGTTTTGTTCTTTGTTCAAAGCGGAAAGGGGCAGCATTTGGGGGCCGCAGGGGACAGTTTCGAGCATCCCGGAAAGGTTCAAAGCCTTCAAACACAACTCTATGTCTTTTCCCCATCAAAAATATACCAAAAAATATTCAGCGTAAGCAAAAGGTCCAAACGTAATTGGTAAGATGAATTTTCGTAGTAAAACCCTTGGAAAATATTCCCAGAAATCC